CTCCTTGCCCTGATCTTGGCACAGGGAGGTCTTGTGCTTGGTGCTGTTGCACCAATAACAGCTGCCGTAGCGGCCGCAGACCTTGTACTCCGCCTCGGTCAAGCCAGACTTGACCCATGGAAATTGTCCTGGCTGTCCATTTCTTGCCTGCGATGCGGATTTCGCCTTCCCATTGTTGCGGGACTTGTTGTTGCTTCGCGGCTGGACACCAGCCACCTGATCTCCGTCACTTGATGCTGGAGTGGCTGCTGGGTTATCTCCACTATCCGACTGGACTGCAGCGAACTGCTGCTGTCGCGGACCAGTTCGTACCTTCTCCACATAGGTTGGCTGCCATGTGGACTTCTCGTGTGCAGCCGGCCTGTTAGTCTTGATGAGCTCTCTCGCCTTGTTGATGATCTTTGCGAAAGTGTTGTACTGCTTGCGATCACCAAGTGCGAGGCTGAGAGCGGCGCATGCCCTGTTGTAGAACTCACGCCGCAGATGCGGAAATGACAAGTCCAAATCGGGCGTCGCCACGTTTTTCTGCCAATCCGTGAGCCAGTCACGTGTCKGTGTGCTCCCTTGAGCCATCGTGAAGATGCGGTTGACGGCGAGTGYCGGGGCGTCGTCGACGATGAACCGCTTCTTCCATTCCTTTGTCATGTCCTCCCAGGAGACCTTCTTGTACAGGTCTGAAACCTGGACGCCGTGGATAGTTGGCATGTGGCTGAGCCAGATCTGACAACCTCCCTTGGTGTTGATGAACAGAGCACTGATGAACAGATGGTCAGGGACTTCGTGAATCCCCAACTCCGTTGTAAATCCTTGCCACCAGACGACCGGGTCTTGATGTGTGTAGTCATCAAATTTCTCGGTCCGGAACGTCGGCATCTTGTATGGCCTCGCCGAGCTGTTGTTGTGGCTGTGGTCAGTCTGCTGTTGCTGACTGATCTTAGTGTCCAGCAACTCGAACCGCTGGCTGATGGTGGCCGCCTCTGTGAAGACACTTATGTCTCCTAGCATTGCCACTACGTGTTCAACGCGTTCCTCTAGTTGGCGGCTAGAGGATGCACTGCTGGAAGCTCCAGCATCTGGTCCTGGTACAGCCTGTTCCAGGCCCAGTACACAGCCGTCCAGTGCCCTTGTGGCATCCTCGTGCTGAATCTTATGGTTCCGCACGGCCCGCTGAAGGTTTGCCAGCTCGGACTGTAGGTGGTTACATGTGTAAACCAACCTGCTCACGAGCTTGGCCATGAACTCCTTATGATGCTCTTCCAGTGTTGGCTCGTCGCCGTTCGGTTCAAAATGCCAGTACTTGAGTTTCTCGATGCTGTTGGCTTCATGCCGCTGCAGCAGATCCTGGGCTTCCTTGCGGCGAGCCTGGGTATCTGCGTCTGCTTCGGCCTGTAGCCGCAGCTTCTCTGCTGTTGCCGCTTCWTCAGCCTGTAGCTGGGCAGCCTTGACTGCCAGCTGGCGTTCTTCCTCAGCCTCGATTGCAGCCAGCTGAGCATGGACGCGCTTTTTGTAGTCGGCAATGGGCTCATTGGCCAGTTGGCCTGGCAGGCCCGTCATGTTGCTGACGTGGCACTTTGTATGACGTGGAACTGTGTCTGACGTGGCACTGCTGATGTGGCACTGCTTACATGGCACTGTGTCTGACGTGGCACTGCTGACGTGGCACTGCTGATGTGGCACTTCTGATGTGGCACTGCTTACGTGGCACTGTGTCTGACGTGGCACTGCTGATGTGGCACGGCTTACGTGGCACTGTTGACGTGGCACTGAGTCTGACATGGCACTGTGACCTGGCACTGCTGACATGGCACTGCTGACATGGCACTGCTGATCTGGCACTGTGACGTGGCGCTGCTGACGTGGCACTGTACCGAACCGGGATGCATGCAAGGGGTGGGTGGGAGGGAAAACGTAGGTAGGTAACCAACCCAACAATACTTTCCTCCGGCCCTAATCAACAGATAAACTAAAAAATAAAAAATAAAAGAGGACTACTTCCTTTTTTTTTTTTGTGTATATATCTGTCGATTTATGATGAGAAGGATATGTCAGAAGAGTATTATGAACGAGATCTAGGCTACGTGCCGCAAAGTTTTGGCTTTTACAAACTGCGATCTTGAATTTTTTTTTGCGAAATGGAGAAAAGATGCGATTTTCAGAAAAGAACGAAATCCAGTTTCTGAGAGTATAGCAACCTCCGAATATGCCTAACGCAATATTGGTAGGCTTCGCAAGATTCGGTTTTCAAAAAAAAAATTGCGAGATAGAATGGAAATGCGATTTTCAGAAAAGAATAATTTCAGTTTCCGAGAATATGACCACTTCTATCGTTATCCCAATATGCCTAGAGAATGAAAATACTAACTTCAGAAATTTCACCTATGTATGCGAAATATCAGAGAAACGAATTGCTACTATCGGGAATTTTCAGACAAAACCAAATGCGATTTATCAGAAATTTTCAGATATTTGTCACGTAAAAACGAACTACTAATATCAGAAATTTTCAGATAGAACGAAAATGCGAATATCAGAAATTTCAGATAGTTGTTGCGAGAATTTTTTTTTCAGAGATTTGA